TGTTCCCTCGTTCTTTCCTGAAAAAGTTAACTAAAATGCAGGAATTTAACAGGTAACTGTAGAATTAGCACTAAAGAAAAATTGATTATACATGGACTTACCTCAGGTCTAACTAAAATGTGCCCCTCTGCACATGTGTGTGTGTGTATGTGTGTGTATGTGTGTATGTGTGTGTGTTTGATGTGTGGTATGTGCGTATGTAGGTCAGAGGATATGCATGTTGTGTGTCTTCCTTGCTTGCTCTCCACCTTTTTTTTGAAACAAGGTCTGAACCTGGAGTTTACTAAAAATTAGGCTAGACTGGTTACTTGGCATGGATAATCCTATCTCTGCCAACACCCCCCTACTACTCTCCCTGCCCCCCGAAATACCTCCAGAAACTCCCTCCCCCTGGTGCTGGGATTGTGTGCACCACAATCCTTAGCCTTTACCTAACTGCTGGATATCAAACTCAAGTTCTCATGCTTTTGTGGCAAGCACTTTAGGATAGTCCCCAAATGATTAATTTAGTTTCTGCTTTCCTTCCTGGAGGAATGGTTTGGGTCTGAAACTTTCAGATGTTGATTCTGGAAACTAAGGCTGAAAAAAAATCTTGTTACAGGATTTGCAAGAGACAGCTGATCTAAAAGAAGTATTTTAGACAATGAACATCTAAAATATTTTTCTAAAAGTATAGCTAATATCTAAAACAACATTCATTGGAATTATAAAAGTTTTGTTTGTGGGGGCTGGAGAGATGGCTCAGGTTAAAAGCAATGACTGCTCTTATAGAAGACCCAGGTTCAGTTCCCAGCACCGACTTGGCAACTTACCACCCTGTAGCTCCAGTTCAAGAGGATCTGATCCAACACCCTTTTCTAGCCTCCATGGATACTGCATGTCTGTGGTACACTTACATAAATGCAGGCAGGAACACTCATACACATAAAATAAAAAATTATATTTTCAAAAGATTTGTTTGGGGAGCTGGAAAGATGGCTCAGCAGTTAAGAACACTGCTGCTCTTGAAAAGGATCCAGGTTCGATCTCCATGCTCACATGGCAGCTAACAATTGCCCATAACTCCAGTTCCAAGGATCCAACACCCTCTTCTGACCTCTGTGAGCATTGCACTACATGGGTGCACTTACATACATGCAAGCAATACACTCATACACATAAAATAATTTTTAAAAGATTTGTTTGGGCTGGGGAGATGGCTCAGTTGTTAAAGAACTTGCCATGCAAGCCTGGGGACCTGAGTTTGGATCCCTAGCACCTACCAAAAAATAACCAGTATGTTCACTCAGATCTATAACTCCAGTGCAGAGATCTGAGGGTAGAAAACGGCAGATTCCTGAAGCTCACTGGCCAGTCAGTCTAGCCAATTGGTGAGTACCAGGTTCAGTGAGAGACCCTGCTTCAAAAGATAGGGTAGAGATGAATCCAAGAAGACACTGGACATCCACTTTTGGCCTCCACACACACATGCATGCATGTACACAAACACATTTTAAGTTATAGATTTTGTATCAGCAACACAGATTTTGATAATTTATTCCAAAAACAAATTCTAGAAAAATACTTTTTTAATTTATCCTTGGATAACATCAAAATACCTCTAAATAAAGCCTGGCATATGCCTTTAGTCCCAGTACTCAGGAGGCAGAGGAAGGTGGATCTCTAAGAAATCAAGGCCAGCCTGGTTTATATAGTGAGCGCAAGGCCAGCTGGGGCTATAGGGAGACCCTGTCTCAAAAGAACAAAAAACAAAAAACAAAAAAACCCTGAATAATGTACATTAAAAGTCTTTTTGATATTAGTAGGCAGAAGCAAGTGGATCTCTGTGAGACGGAGGCCAGCCTGGGATGGTCTACAAAGGGAGTTCCAGACCACGTGGGGCTATATTGAAACCCTCTCTCAAAAAAATCTTTTTGATGGGTTATTGCTTTTTCAGGAATATTATTAGTATGCATGAAAGTGAAAATGTGAGCTTTTTTTCAAGATTTTTATGTATATGAGTGTTATGTCTGCATGTATGTATGTACATACATGTGCCTAATACCTGAGGAGACCAGAAAAGGGTGACAGGTCCCCTGGAACTGTAGTTACAGATGGTTGTAAGCTGCCATATGGGTGCTGGTATAAAGTGGAGTGCCTCTACTTTATATAAGTTTAACTGGTCAATCATCTGGTCATAGGACCACCCCTAAATAAATAGGTGGAATACCTAGTGCGTTAATGAGATAGTGACTTTTTCCTGCCTGTAATCTTGTCTATGGGGGCAGAACTTTGTAGCTACGGCCATGTAGTCTGTGAGTTGCCCACTTCCCTGAATTCTTCATGGAAGTGTAATTTCCCTTTTTCTTCTTCATACCTTTCTTACTAAGCGTGCTTTCTTCAAGGCTTTGGGCTGCCCATAGCACCTTGCATTTCTTTCTCTCTAAAGCTTCCTTCTCCCAGCCATGTGGCTGCCAGCCAGCTACGGGTCTGACCTCCTCAAGGCAGCTGCCAAGATTACCAGCTCACCTGCCCTGAGGATTTCTTTTTCTTTAAGATTCTAATAAAATTGTAAAAGT